CGAGAAAACATACTACTCGCATGCCCCCATCAGTAGTATCCACCGTTACACTAGCAACAAGTCACTCCTGAATAACAAATTTTCGTAAAAAGAAAAACCGTAAAACGAGGACACTTTCTTTTTAAAGAATGCTCTCAAATACAACGGAAAATGTGTCCACGTGTAAAGATAAGCGGATGGCTAATGTTTGAGTGATTAATCTTGAAGGAAAGGGACTCTGTGCACGAGTGACGTTCCTGTATTTGGAAGAGAGCAGGATACTGATGGCTTGCACAAAAATGCCTGTTTATCATAGCAGCGTTCTTCTGTTTGTAACAGAGCTTTGCTGTTTTACTCGGTTCTGATATTGGAAAGTTGGGTTACATTAAGCAGTTTTATTCATGTGTAGGTTGCCAGTCATCTTCGTCCAAATGTTGCCCCATTAGGTTTCCCCTCTAATTCTTTTCTGCTCGGTTTAGTTCCAGGCTGTCAGACTGATTCGAGTGATCAGTTATATCTTCCGGATATCCCTCCTACTACCAGGTTCAAACCCTGAATGAGGAACGTGATACATTCTGCTGAATTCATCCATCACGTTGTTATTTTATTTAAAGAGGTTTTATTTTTATGCATAGTGTTCAGAATCGAATTTAACGGGTTACGGACCTTGAGTACAAATGGAAAGGACTACAGAGGCTAGATGGGCGTTAAGTGGAAACTCTCTTGAAAGGTGTTTTATCTTATTTTTCACCATTCTTTGGAACAGTGTCCATGATGAAGTTTGAGTCTTTGCTTTGAAGGCAGGTGAGAAGATTGTTCCATCCTTGATAAGTTCATCAGAATGTCTAATAATGTAAAGGAAAAGTGTTCTCAGGCAACTGAATGTGCTGCACCAGGCCGCTTCATGTTTCAGTCGCTACGATATTTGAAATATCGCGATATATGTATATTTGTAATGTACTGCTGAGAACATCATAAACGAGGGATTCAGCTGGGTTCCAGGTGAGTCTCTAGAAAGAACCAAATTAGTTTGCAGATGAGTGTATATTCGCTAATTTCGTGCAATTTGGTTTCAAGTAGAACATAAGGTTGACGGAAACCCAGGGACTGCGCCTACCTGATGAGCCCCAAGAAGGGCGAAACCGGTCGTGGGCTGTCGATGGATTTTCAGCAACCCTATGAGTAGTGCATCACAAATGTAAAGGAAAGGAATTAATTGGTTTAAAAGTTGACCAACCTGTCTACATTTAGAGTGTTCCCAATGTTTCGGTGCCACAAGGTTCCAAATGCAGTAGGATAAGGATCGTGCGTTTGACACGAACCTCCCGACTTGTTGTGTTTGGTCATATAGCAGTACGGTTATCAATAGTATAAAAATGCCATTCTCTTACAATAAGCGGAGGTTTTTTTCACCAGATGTACTTTGCTGGAGAACTTCAGTGTAGTAGTCCTAAAAATTGGGCAGTTTATATGAGTGCTCTTCCGTTTTAAATGTTACATTTGATAACGTCCAAGTACTGGTGAAAGGAAGAAGGCCTTTGCTGCGGAGTTATTTATCGGAAAATGCCAGCTGAACAGCTACAGACTATTGGACAGGGAAGCAAAACTCTCTCTTCTTTACAAAAACTGAATATCCATCTTCTCTTTGAACGCGTCTTTCTGAACTTTCCTGGATTATCATTGACTGTTGCTCAGATTCAAGCGAATGCTACAAAGGTGCTCCACACATTCCGCAATAAATCTTACTTTTCAAGAGACGCAGAGTGGATTTACAAGAGAAAAAACTACTCGCACGCCTCCCCCATCAGTAGCATCAACGTTACACTGGTGGTTCTGGTGAATACTGCTGGGTCTTGTTTGTATCTTTTGCCGGAACACACCACTCTTAAGGTCGATTGAAGCTCCCATATTCCGTCAGCGCTTTCGTCCTTCCTGGAGATCTTCCAGTAGGCACCATTCCCAGGTTTCCGCCAAACTCATGTTTCGCCAAATCCCTCGGTCAGAGTTCTATTCTATGGGATTGTTCAACTGAACGTACACAAAGAACGCCTTCTGTTTTATTTGACATGAAAAACCAATTGTAAGATTGAGGTTTGTCCAACTCGGCCTTGGAGACACGCTTCCTTGAGAAAAAAGCTTCCTGACAGAGTAAACAGCGGGAACCGGAGTCTGTGGGACATGAGCAGAGTGCTAATGAACTCTGATATTGAGCTCGAGGAGAGATTGAATCGGGATTTAGTTGACATCAAACTGAAGTGCAGATAGATCCGGCAGCGTCTAAGCTCGACGGTCCAAAATGTTGGCTTGCACGAACCATGTGCATACTGAAATATCCTAATTAGGCTGTTTTTATATGACACATTTTATTGGTGAAATTCTGATGCAAAATGCTTGGATCCTTCCAGTTCAGAAACCTAATCGTCCAAAGTATTATCGATTTTCACTGTTTAACTTAGTCTCTGACCCAAAAAATAAAAGGCGCTTTTGTATGTTTCAAAAAATGCGTTGCGCTTAACTCTGTACAGGACTTCAACCGCTTTTCAAAATGTCTTGAAGGCAAAAGGAATAACTGAACGTTGAATTGCGAGATGAATGAAGCCTATTGAGGGTTTTTAGATCTCCTGTGGAACCGCCTAAAATTGTATACAGACTGGACAGCATTCAGCAATCAATAGCCGCACAAGTGCGTGTAAATTGACTTCCTGGACGGCAATCACCTATCCGAATAGATATTACCGCCGACAAGTAGGGCTAACATGAACTATTCAGGAGCGCAGTTGTCTGCTTCCCAGATTCTATCCATCGGCACAATGATTTAGTTGCCATTTCATAGGCTGATTCATACACCATATATATATATATATATATATATATATACTTTCAAACTGCATTGCTGTTTTCATCCTTCCTCAGGCAGACATTGCGCGGACGCGCCTGTTTGTTGTCACGATAGATGACAAATGGTTTCAGTACAAAGTGCAAATATTGGTCACGTAAAGGACGGAAGTATGGGGCTGTTTATTCAGTCCGTATCAAATCGAGATAGGTCGAACAAACCAGGCTGATATGCTGTTACGTCCTAGGAACTGTGATAGTGGTCATAACTGTTTTGTTTCGAACCAGTTGATTCTACTTCGCAATTTGGAGAAAATAGATGCTTTTATATGGAAGGCTACTACTGATAAATGATTGGAATCTGGAAGCAGCTCATTTGTAACAACGTATGTAATAACCCTTTAAAACTTTCACTCTGTAAGAGCTCATACCTTGAGATATTTGGAGGAACGATAGTCTAGAACAGCTTCTGTAAACTGAAGCACTACTACTTTGGTTCGCTAGTAGTGTACGGACAGTTGAAAATTTTCAAAAGATTTCGTCTTGTGATTCTCGGTGGTCCAACACCTACTAGCTTCACTAATAGGACGATACCTCTGCAAAAATCTTCTGGTTTCGCCACAGTGGAATTAGTTAAAAATTTACGAGAACTGATTCATTTATGTTAGGGTTGTGTTTGTGTAAACTGTTAATCGACCGATGTTTGTTTTAAAATTGATGGACTACTGATGTCTCTGGAAGCCCACCGATGGGTGATAACTATTGTTCTAAATAAACCAGATCTGATAGTCGCTTTCAATAACACCAGTTACCTTACACGATCTGCAGTAACAGAGGTTTCGGGCGTAAGGGGGTTTCTCACATTTAATTGTTATTTGACAATGGTGAGGACTTTACATAAATCACTAGTGTTTGTGCTTACTCTAAATATCCAGCATGGTTTCAAACTTGGCTCCTCTGAAAGCCTACACTAAACACAAGTATTCTAGTTTTTTCGCTAACCAAAACTGTGCCCGTATCTCTTAATCGACCCCCGTAGTTTTTGCAAATTAAGATGAAGTACGAATACAAGACCAACGAACACCAAAATAACTAGACATGAGAAGTGGTCACCATCCGTTAGCCAGATAGAGTTTATCTGGTTGGGGCTGCAGCTGGGTGACTAGTCTGATTTGAATAAAGTTATCAATTATTCGGTGCTCCTTGTGTCACTCAAGTTTCCCCTCGACAGCTCAGCCATCTGAATTGAACCGTGCCTTGAACCCTTTCTAAACGATATTCATCGTAGAGGGACATTTCCAGCGTTCTGCCACAGTGTTCACTATTGAACACACTTGGTACCCGATCGTCTAACCGTTCCGAACACGCAGAATCTGGAACTCATCCGTTTTCAGCTAGTGTTTAAATTAACTGTTTGTAGGAACAATCGGGTTTATCTGACCACAACGTGAATATTATACCTTAACTGAATTGTAAGTTTTTGTAAAACTACTGTGAATTCACATAACCTATGTGAATGAAACGCGGTTCTTTTGCACCAAATGCTGTTTGGTACTGTCATTCATCATTCTATACCACGCGTTTATACGTTTGCCGACAATCTGGTGTTAGCATATCGGATCGATTGAAAAGTTTGAAGAACTTTTGGGTGAACCATGCTGTTTTACATTTGGTTGCAATTCTGATGCGTGTTGACGTCTGATATGTGAAAATGTTCAGAGTACGTGCGATCATTGATGCTGGGGTGTGCTCATACGGGAGTGCTCATACTGCAAAGGGGTACACTAGTCTATAATAAACCAACAAGCACAGTGATTTAGTCGACTGTGGTGGGAATGGCATCCTTTCATGTGCGAAAGTACTTGGTGAGGTTGTGGGTTTTCGAGTACTTTTAGGAGAGGATGCCAGGCGTCCCACGGGTCTATGTTGGTTGGGGATCAACAAGCGAGTACTTTTAGGAGAGGATGCCAGGCTTCCCACGGGTCTGTGTTGTTTGGGGATTTCATCAACACAGTAGCAACTGACCGACATTAAGGAGTGCATTGCCCAACGTGCTCTGTGAATTTCGTAAGACTTTTGTGGCAGACCAATGGAAGGGCTACAGAGCACTCAATAAGCGCAGGAGCACTGACCTCGTTTTCGAAATCAGTGATGGTGTTGTGGTTGATTCCATCACGCATCGTTACCTAGATGTGATCGAAAAGCGTTGTTGTTTCTTATCGCACGTGAAGGCCGAATAGCGTGTGAGTCTGTAGGGCCTCAATTCGGGTCCTTGTGTCGAATCCAAAACCAGCACAGAGGGGACGACGGTTTCGTCTGGATCGATTACCGTCGCTTGTATTCGCAACAATTCACAACGACGAGGTGAAAACAAATCAGGGAAATAGGGGCATGATGACCGACTCGACAATGCGGCTGCCGATTGTTTTCCCTGAATGGCAGTAGAAGTAATAACGCCACAAATCGGGAATGTTCTGCTCACAACGGAGTTTGAACAGAACTGAGAAACCTTAGGGGACCAAGCTGGATGGAATAACGTCGGATGGATTGTCGGAAACGACTAGAACCGCCAGGTTACAGCGTTACGAACGTTATGGTGATTTCGCTTCTCAGGGTAAACACCCTACCCGAATTACTAACTTAAGAAGGTGAATACACAAAACTATGACAATTGACGTCGTCAAAGTTCGGGGTTTAATGTATCTGTTTATCACACTGAAAAGCTGAATGGCTGTTCTGCGGGAGGTGCCGAGTGATTAGTCCTTCTGAATGCATTCAAAATGTAATAAATAATAAAGATGTGGTGACCAGGGCTAAACCTGACATTCACCCTCATGACCCTTGATTTTGGGTTGTTCACGTAAAGACCTTGTGTTTGGTGATCAGTTTTTGGTTTCTAGCATTTTTGATCGGCGGAAACGCTGCTTGTTTTAACTAGCTGTTGATTTTCGTCAGGACTGTCCAGATGTTGGCGAACAGTGAGATCGTATATCTAGTGCATCAGTGACCTTCATTATGGACCTAATATTCATCCAACCAGAAATTAAACAGCATGCTTCTTTTCCAGTTCCTGCAGACTTGAGGGGAGTCGTAGTATGTATATATATATATATATAGTACATATGGTAGTATAGTATATATAGTACATACATAGTACGTATATAAACGACCTGTTATGCGCAACTGTCCATTGGATCGAACGCTGTTGACCAGCAGCACTGTTTCGGATACCGGCGAAACACATAATAATAATAATAATATGTTTTTAATCCAGGTCGACAAATGAGATTGACAAATAAGCTAAACAGACTCACTAGAGCTAAGTGCTTCATTTTTTGGAAATCCAAGCTAAAGAATTCAAGCCTAATGGTCTACCAGTGTTTACCAGTCGGTACAAATCAGTGTACTTGTAGGGTTGGTACGCATACTTGAAATCTCATGGACAGTGGTATCAGGACAGATGACCAGAAACGTTGCCCTAGGTTCCTCCGTCGAAAACGTTCTTTGTTGCTGATCTCTGCTGAACTGAACACTTTGCCCTGGGATCCCATTTGCTCCTCGCGCTTCCCTAAGGTTGCTCAATAGTTACTTACAGAATCGATGTCGCAAATGAACTATTCTTACTATTAATTTTGTATTGAATAACGTCTGTGCCATCTTAGTTTAATTTTAAATAACCGTCAAAATGGCTATCTTTGTCGTGTACGAAGAACTCAGAAAGAGACTAGGAAAGTGTTGTAGATGGACACGTGATGTGGAGCTTGTGATGACAAGCACTATACGCCACATCTCATATGGAGGGATTAGCAAAGGTCCGTGAAATGACATCAGTTCCAACTGAATGACATATGCGTTGTGACTACATTACAAATCTTTCTTGATTCTTTGTTAATTTTTTAGAACTTTGTAATCTGTTTGTAGTCTAACTCGAAGCTTCTACGCATATATGTGATTTCATACAGTACTCATTCAAGCGAGTTTCCTTTCAAAAGAAGCCTGTTCAAAAATGGGTCCAATTTCTAAAGCGATAACTTACCAGCATAGATAAGATCCTCTGTCAACCGTGTCCTCTCTTGAGGTAGGCTAGCATCAGTCGTTGAAAGCAATTTCGTGGAAGAGCGGCAAATACAGTAACTGGATACTCTGCTGAGCAAAATTGTATTTCGAAGGCCTAGACTCATCCAGAACAAACCCGGGTACAGTGAGGTTGGTTGTACACTTGATTCGTAGCAGTCCCACGTGATTTGCACATCTTCCTCCCTGAGAAGGGAGAATATTTTGGTGTACTTTGCTAAAAATCCGGGGAGTGCTGAATCCCAAGGCATGCAAATTTAAAAAAAAAATAACAAAACTGCCTATCAATCCTCGACTACAATGGCTGATTCTATCAATTCCTCGACTACATGGCTGATTTTCCTCAAGCAGTAACCTGATACGTACTACTAGGCTAGTTTTGTAAACATGCTCAATTTTTCCGAAGAAATGGGCACCATTTGGACTTGTTGTTTGTAATAAACTGTGAAACAGTCATTCCCACAACGTTAGAGAACAATCCACTTTTGATTTTAACACGTTTTCAACAGGGTGGCGAGTGTTTTCTTTTGGTTTGACCTTTTTTCACAACATATGATTATCATCAGCTAGATCCGCTTAGCTTGTCCAACAGCTGCATGTCGTGCAGCATTTGGGCTTGCTTAGACAGAACAGTCTCTGAAAGGGGAACTTCTTGTGGTCTATGATGGGGGTAGCCTCTAAGACGCTGTCCTGGCTGCTGCTGTATGATAATGTAAGACACTACATTGCCTCTGTTGAGTGTTTCACTCACATCCTCACACTGACCAACTTCATACGGAACTAAGTAGAGCCATGTAACACTTTGTCCCCAGGTCAGACGGTTAGTCATTGCTCAGCTGGGAGTCAAACCAGGTTTTCTACTGCACGTCAGCAATTTACGCAACACCACCACAATACCTCTTTACCTTTGTATTCCACGAACAATGATCACTTGAAACGACGACAAACCACCGGCGGATGTAATGAATATGTGTAGAACATTCGTTTTACCCACCATCGTGCTCTTGATAGAAGTAAATGTCTTACAGAGGAGCGAACCGCCCACCTGTTATCCTCCGACAAATTTTCACCGCAGGGTTGGCATTGGACAACTATCATGTATGTTAGATAAAGTTCCTGAGGCTCTGGAATAATGACCTTAAGTGGATTTGCTGTTATTAGCACGAATTCACCCGTCATTCTCCACTCATTCTGTTATGACGATGGCTATTTCATGTGTTTCTCATCAGGTAGAGACAGATTAAACCGGTTTTCCACGTTCTACAACGACACCTCGATATATTTTTCAACATCTTTGATTATGTCAAGAGAATAATACTGGGGTGTCCCGAATATCGTCCCAACATTTGGCAGTCTTCGCGCAGCACAGTTAGTTAGACAAGAATACCATAAACGAGAGATTCAGTTTAGATTGCATTGAGCACCTCGTTGAACTAGTTCGCAGATGGATGTATTTCTTGAAATTCTTCCGATTTGGGTTTAAGTAGAACGTAAGTTTGACGGGGGACTGCGATGTCTTCAGTCGTATCAGTCGGTCGATTAGAGTTCAAAAGTTTTCAGCAAACCAATGATTAGTTTGTCCCATCAAGAAATAAAAGTATGAGGAGGTTTTTTAGTGAAGTTTGTTCCACGTGATCAAGGGTTATTGCTTTAATGAACATGCCATCTATTCGCCCGTCTGCATTTTCGTTTGGAGGAGACCTCGTTAATCTTCTGCGGTGGCAATTGGAGTGTCTATGGGAACCTATCACGTGTAGGTTAGGTGGTTACGAGTACGGTTAAGCAAGCGGTATATAGATAACTAAACCAGCAGCTAAACGAACAAGGCAGGATCGACGCTTAGACCTCAATTCTTTCTTAAAACACGATTGTTTGTTGCAGTCAAATAGAAGCCTTCTCGACTTTTGCGAATATGTTTTGTCTAATGATCTTGAAACGGTGTGGCAATATTTTATAAACCAACCCGAACGAATTAGCTAGTTTCTATCCATTAGGTGAACTGCAATCATACTCGTTCAATGTGCATTACACAGAACCCGTTGAAACTATGCCGCTACCGCATACGAACTTGGACCCATGTTGTTTTGGATCACAATGGTCCCCCCCCCCAAATGGGACCCTTT